TCCCTCATAGAAGATGGGACACATAACTTAAACTCAGATACAATAGACCTTTCACTTTCAAGAAGATACACTAGAATGACCAAAATACCCCTGACTCGAGCATTCTAACAGATTACATACCACCAATCATCTTATATCTAAGGGGACACCATTAGACCACCTGTATTATTTTATTTATGTGGTTTAGAGAGCGAATTCAAAATTTATTGATTCATTACAGTTTTATTTTTTATATTTGGATCCATTTTCTTCAGCTATTCAAACAGAACTTGGTGGTTTCCAAAAATCCTCCTAATCAAATTTCATCATGGACAGTAAGTGGTTTTTCCCAGCAAGGAAGAATCCCATGGAATCTGCTGCATTTGCACTACAGTGGTCAATATGGACGGAAGAGAACAGCAGATTTTTTTATAGAAAACAAGCTACAAAGGAAGCTGTTATAGGGAAATTAAAGGAACCCTGCCATGGGTTAGCATTCTCAAACAATTTTCTGGTTTCAAACAGGATGGCTTTAAAAGGCACTGGGAACAGATTTTTTTTCTTCCTTTGCTGCATAAAGGTCATGTTCTTGTATTGATAAATCTTGGTTATAGATGGCATCCCTGTTGATTTTCATGCTTTAGTTGTAGGGAACCTCTCCCTCTTTTTTTGATCAATATATTTTTTATCAATAGAATCTCTCCCTCTTTTATTAATACAAATTTCATTTATCAAAAAAATACATAAAAAGTAGCAATATCTGCATGCTATATAATTTTTTAATGTCCTCTAAAAAATCTGCTAATTAAATATTTTTATATGTTTTAGCCTACTATTAGTTATAATAGTAGACATTTCTACATTTAATGAGCTACATGCATATGCTGAAACATAGGAAAAGCACAATTTTCAGAATCATCTAATACTCTTCAAATCAACAATTACCCACTATTAGTATACTCAAGTCTTTTTATGCTGCCATGATTAGATGCCAGATCAAGGAAACTGATATTAACAGTTTGTGGGGAGATAGGATCATGGACTCAAAGTCTTCATGATCAATAATAGACATATAAGTTCTGAGGAGACTCACAAATCATAGATTTGCTTCAGGACCTTTCTTTTCTATGAGTTTTGATCAAGTTCAGAAGAATGTTAATTCCTAGATTGTTCTGATGGCCTTACCCCAGCTAAGCCCTCCAAAACCTGATCAACACTTGATATTTGTTATCCAATCATTTGTACCACACTATCTATCATTTCATGCACATATAGTGTGCAAAATCATCCAACTTTAGATGTTGAATCACTTGGAACTTCCTTTTTTCACTTGCCTATATGTTTAAGTTCAAGGAAGAAATAAGTTAACTTAAACTGTTCTCAAAGCATCAATTGATTGATTAAAGGTCTGTTTTTCTCTTTTGTTGCTCATTCATCTTAAGATGATCGGAGGACACATGATATTGTCCCAGAGGTTCAAATACAACCTTCTGTTTGAGGATGTCCCTCCACAATTATATAATAATGTTTCTCTTGAGAAAAAGGATAGATAAAGTAAAATTATCAAATTTGCAACCAAAAGGAAAAAATGGATAAACAAGAAAAATTAGCAATGTGGGGCCTGTTCTAACAAACCTCAGCCACAACATTGGGGTGAGCATCATTAGTTATATGAACATCTCGATATTCAATGTCATCGAACCTTTCATCTCTCCTGGGAGACTCAAAAGTTTGAATGCTGCTCATGTGAAATTGGCTCAGCTCTGCTTTTACCATATCAATCATTGAAGTAAACTGAGCATTTTCTTTCTCAAGTAAATTCTTAATGTCAAATCGGTGCAGAGTGTAAAAATGGCGCAACTCTGATATTCTTTTCATAATCACGTCATCCGAAAGAATCTGCATTCAAGTAAACAAGACACAAGATTAAGCAAAAGAAAGAGAGATTCAATTATAAACTTAAGATACCATTATGTTCTTACCCTCTTCTTTTCCAATTTGTGGATTTTCTTCTTTAGGTGATCTTCAATCTCCAATCCCTAAATACCAGTTATATTATCTTAGTATTGATAAGCCAGCCCATGAAAAAGAAATTATCACCCATGTTCTTTTGAAGAATAGATCCATACCACTCGAAGCTTGTTTTGAAGATTATCCACTGAGCATCTTAATCTTTCCAGCTCTTCTTCTAAAGCACCCTGCATTGCAAGTCACTTTAAGTGCAGACAGAAAATAACAGAATGAAAGAGCTGCTTCATCATCACTTACAATGTCTCCTTTTCTTCATCAGTGCCAAATTCATTACAATCAGAAAAGAGTTTAACGTTAGTTGTGAACAAAAAGGTTTTGTTAGGACAAGTCCTTGATAGTGTGGAATAGCAAGAGGGGATCTATGTGGATAACCTCAAATAGTTTGGCTAAGGCAACAGTTAGTTGAGTTGCGCACAGAAGGGGAAATCATACATATAAGTAACTTTTATAATCTCAAAATGCTGAGTGCATTACCAAATATTAATAGCAAACAAACCTAAAAACAATACCATGGTAAAAGCAATAAAACAACATATGACAAAAACTTATTGTATATAAGTTGACTGGCTTCAGAAAGAGGAGATGTCAAGCTGAATTGGGTTAAGAGAGATGCCAACTCCATGGCTGATGCTTAAGCTAAACAAAGGGTGGGAAGAAACTCTAATTTTTTGGCTATATTGTAATTCATTTTATGGCTTCTATATGGGGGAGTTAAGAGAGTTTTTCTCCTCCTTTTTGTATCTTCCTTTGGCTTAATAATTAATGAACTTCGGTTATTGATCTATATATATAGACCAAGAAAGACATGGACTAATGTATTAAGAAATTATTTAAGTACTCATAGTCTAACAATAGATATGGTACTAAAGTCTAAACATAATAAAATGGTGAAACAGGATTCATGTAGCCAAATCCATATAGTTGAGACAAGGCTTAGATGATAATGAGGAGGATGAGGATATAATATATCTTTAAATGAAAGAAAGAGCATCCACACATCCTATAAAGAAATTATGCTTTTTTCAAATTACCATTTTATACAATTATCTCTCTCCAAAATATGATAGGATATGGATGCACTTATTGGGACAAAGGACATTGATGTGATAACCAATTACTAGCTTGACACAGTAATACTTGTATCATTGTGCTCAATTCTAGACGCTCCAATATGATGACATATTGTACAGGAGATGGGCCGAATGGCCCAGAGACTGACATTTCATGTTATGTTATGTTTCTCTCTGTTATGGGCCTTATTCTGGGCCCATACTCTGTAATGTTTTGTTTTTTGTATTTTCCTGCCCACTCAAGGGCCTCTCTGTAATTTGTCAAAGATTAACTT